CCGATCTCCTTGGAGGAAGATCTTTTTCTGAATTTCACAGAGCAAATAAGACCTGATGTTTTCAGCTTCACACGCATCTGCTATCCCCTATAAACTACCCCAGTTGACTGAGGACACTGAGGCTCAGGGAAGCTAAGTGATTTGCTGTGTGGCCATGGATAATGGAGAGAGCAGCTGGGACTTGAACTTAGCTCTGGCTCGACTCCAAAACTTGAGATCTTTTGTCTCTGTATCTCAGGACCGCGCCTTCTGACCAACAGATGTATCCGTGTCGAAAAGAGCCCATTGAAATAATAAACCAGAAGCCAGCCTATAAACCAATGAGCCAGATTTAGTCGGGTCATGAGTGATGGGGGAGGTGTTCAGTGCAGAGGGCAGCGGTGTCCCTGACTCAGAAGGTTTGACAGGGAAGGTGAACTATCTGTCTCCTGTTGAGTGTCTGGAGACCAAGAGACCCAAGTTCAGATTCCAACTGTGTCACTTCAACCAGCTTTGGCAGTGTGGGGGTGTGACTCTACCCCTGAGCCTCAGTTTTACCATCTGGGCTAGTGTTGTGAGGGAGGTGACACAGGTGAAGGTCCTGGCACATGGCGGGCGTTCAGGCATGGCAACTGCTCCTATTATCCTTATGGGGTGGCACTTGTTGCCTGCTCCGGGGAGTCCAGTTGGCCCTGCCCATGATGGAGCAGGAGAGACCCTGCCCTCGCTGGATTGGGGCCAGAGGAAGTGGGGACTCTGCACGAAACGAAGGCAGCAGGTGTGGCCATGTACAGGCCACTGGGATTGGCCCTGGACACTGGTTCCTTTTCTGCTGTTACCTAGACACACTGACTCCCTCTAGTTCCGGTTTGTTAGAGACAGGAAGCCAGACCTCTTCCAAAGGACCTGGAGGGGGAGGGGGCTACAGGAACTGACCTTCCTCAGAAGTTAGGAGACCTGTGCTGGGCTGCGGGGCCAGTGTCCTGGGCCTTGGAACAAGCTTCCCCTCTGAACAGCTGGGTAGGTGCCGGGGGTAGGCATGGCTGGCCTTGGGGGAAGGAGAACAGGCAGGCAGCTGGGAGAAGGTATGGGCCCGCAGACCAAGGCCCTGGTGAGGGCCTGGCTTCCCTTTTACTTCTTCTGAGCAGGGGTGGGGCTGGGGACAGGGCCATGAGAGGAAGGATCAGACTGGCAGCCCTCACGGCCTGGGCTCCGTCATTCAGGAAGTTGTATTGTTTAAATATGGCATCATCTTGTGATCATAGGAAGCGGCCTCTTGCAGGCCAGATTTTTGGGGTTTGGGGCTTCTGAGGAGTCAGCTGTCCTGTAATTCACTGTCTTTGTGATATAGGGCAAGTCCCACCACCTCTCAAAGCTAGTCTCCCCATCTATAAAGGAAAGCTGAGAATTCCAGCTCGTGGGGTAGGAAGATTAACCGAAACCTTGAATGCCAAGTGCCCAGCACTGGGCCTGTCCTCAGTAAATGGTAACAAGTGCAGCTGCTGCTTTCTGATGATTATTAAGGGCCTGGGACCCAGCCCCCAGCAGGTCACCAG